GGTACTAGACTCGTATTGTTAAATAGTATTATAAGTACGTATTAAGTACCTACAAAAAAGTTCATTAATAAAAAGGCACTACAATTTATTAGTAATACTATACGTCTATACCCATTATTTTATTTATTCATATATAATGTGATTTATTAAAATTAAAATGATTTGATATTTTAAGAGAATGCCATAGTAATTAGTAACAAGAGAAAAATGATTTAAAATGTTTGAAAAATGTAGATATTCAATATTTAAGTTATATACTCACTTTAGGAGTTTGTTCTTTTTTGATGGCATGAAATTGAGCAATGTCGACTGCCGTTCATTCGACATTTTTAATACACTAAACAATATTATTTACAAAATACAACACAATGGTATAGATTTTCAGTAAAGCACAATAATAAGGCATAACGTTATGTCGTATAATAAGTACGCGTAGGTATAAAAATAAACTAGACAAAATAATAATTATATCATCAGTTATTAATATCACTTGTTAGTGATCTAAAATTAATTTTCCGTCCATCTAATCAATAATCATGGTTCACAATTTCAAGATTATAATATAAAATCGTGTTTATACTTAATGGAATAATATTATTGGCTTATTTTTGTAACTCAAATAATGCATCTAAAATAGTATTAATGTATTAAAGTAATAAAAAAATATTGTTATATTATAATATGTTAAAAATATTGCATCCTTTCTTAGTTTAATAAAATTAGAAGGTTTGTGTTGTTGGATAATCTGAGGGGAAAAATGATACCTTTGCCCCTCCCCCCCACAACCATTTCTGGGGGGTAATTGCCCCCGCAATTACGCCACTGGGTTTCTGGTTTAAACATACAGCTTTATTTTATTGGTAACTATTATTGTTAATCATATAATTATTATATCTAAACCTAGTGTAAATGTGTAATAATACTTTTATTTAGAAATGTTTGGTATTGCTCTATACTTTTATCGTCTAACAAAGCGGGTTTCAACATTTTTATAGTCGCGTACCACTTACACAATTTGAACATTTTTACGTAGGTACCACCTGACCATTTTTTTTTGCTTATTAATAATGTATACGTTTATGTTATATGTATGTATAGAATTTTATTTCATTAGGAATTACAAAATGATAGTATAAAATATATAAATATATAATAAAAAATAAAGTATTTAATTGAGTATTTAATGCACAGAAAGAAAAAAACTTAAAAATATAAAAAAATTAAATATGTAAAATTATTATGGTTTACTTTTTATTTCAATGAGACGATTGGTGTTGTTTTGAACGGACGATGACGTCAATATCGGGCTCCAAATTGCTAACTTTAAGTCTTAAATTATTTTCGACATCATCAAATAAACATTAAATAAACCAAATAATATTTAATGTTAATAATAATTCGTAGCAATTTTTTTAAGATTTTCTCCGCGTACCACAGGTTGAGAACCGCTGGTCTAACACATTATATTATTTTAAGCGAAAAATGTCATTCTCGGTAAGTATATTATTTATTTCAAAATAGGTACAGTTTTAAAATGGTGGCGTCAACATTGCAGGTTGTTATTAAAAAATTAAAAATTAAATAGTTCATGGTCAATCGTGCTCACTGCTCGTACATTGCGTGATGTATATTTAAGGAATCTGTACATCACATAGCCGATCGACATTATATTAAATGTTGTATAGTACTAGCTATAGTCACTTGTATTAGTATAATTGTATATTTGTATACATAGAGATCAAATTTAGACAATTGCTTACATGTTAATCCTTGATGATATAATTTATAAATCATGTGTTACTTAAATGTAACCCCAAATTACATGAAAGTCAAGTTTATATCTGTCTTTCAAAATTGGCTCATTTCAAGGCTACTATAATATATGGTAACACGTTTCTTACATGACATAAAACGTATAATCTATTGTACATAGGTATGTATTATATTACAATATGGACGTACTAAGAAGTTTTTTTTTTAATGACTCGGAACAAAACATATTTTTTTATAGACATTTGAAGCCAGTTTTAACAAAATTGAATAGACAAGAAAAATAATTTTAGTAAATTCGTTGTAGGCACCTACATCCAAAAATAAGGTACCTGGACGTCCCCCCCCCCCCCCCCCAACAA